CTGAGAAGAGGTTCTGGTACCCTGACCTGTGCCAGTGCCCACCCCTGCTCTTGCCCTTCCCCCTCCCTCTCCCAGTGCTCTTGCCCCTGCTCCTGCCCATGCCCAGCCCAGCAGAGCCCAGCCCATCCCAGCCAGAAGTTCTTCATACCAAGTTCACCTTTCAGGTCATCTATCTCTTTCTGTAGCCGGACACACTAAGCCAGCAGGCAGCAGAGAAAGAGAAAATATTAGTATACTCTTGCCTCCTCCCTTCTGGTTCTCCCCCTCTACTGCGGGCCCAGTCTGTCCCCCACAGCCCAAAGCCCAGTGGGAGACTGGTTTGGAAATCTCCATGGACAGGAAGTACTCTCCCCTACTTGTGTGGGGCGAGGGAGGACAGGCAAGTTGGCCTTAGCCAGCTTGTTGGAACCTAAAAGGAAACTTTCTGGCTTTGGGGGGTTATTTGTGTGTGTGTGTGTGTGTGTGTGTGTGTGTGTAGGAGCAGGAGCAAGGCAGAGTCTAAGGAAGGGGCAGCAGAAGGCTAATCGGTTCAGCACCTGCTTGCAGACCCCACCATCTTGTTTAGACCTGTATTTCTAGGGCCAGAGAGAGCAGCATTACCTTAGGGCAGCCCTGTTCTCCAGATAGTGGCTGCTGCCTTTCCTGTCTTGGGGCACAGGTGGGTGGACCCTGGTCACCTGCAAGAGAACAGACAATGCAGCCTTAGGGCCTAGGAGGGAGCTGCAAAGGACCCGGCTGGTGCAGCGGTTCTCAACCTGTGGGTTGCCACCCCTTTGGGGGTTGAATGATTCATAACAGTAGCAAAATTACAGTTATGAAGTAGCAACGAAAATAATGTTATGGTTGGGGGCTCACCACAACATGAAGAACTGTATTAAAGGGTCTTGGCACTAGGGAGGTTGAGAACCACTGGTGTACAGTGAGTCAAGGCCACCCTCTGCTGGCCACAAGTTGCCCTTGGCTCTGCCCAGCAGCTCCAAGCTTCTCTCTGGGCCTGCTTGTCTCTGTTCCCCACTCTCAGCCTATCTCCCACTGTATGTAGCCCCAAGGACCCTCCACGCTCCCTCCTCTCCACCCCCAATTGTGAGGGATGAGCAATGTGGACCCGTAGGACCCACCAAAACAGACACTGTTCCACTGAAAGTCTGCTTCTGGTGTTTGAGTCGGGGTGCTGCTACAAATCAGCCCCA